ATGCTGGCCGACCTGGCCAAGTGCTATGAGAAGGTGGCCCACCAGCGCATGTGGTGGTTGGCGGCGTGGTGGAACGGCCCATTGCACGTCGTCGCCCTAGACATGGAGAGTTTCGCCTTCGGCAAGGTCACCAGAATCGGCGAGGCGTGCCCCGCGGCGGTCTGCGCCGCTAAGGCCCTGTCAGGGCGGTCGGTTCGCCCCCGCCTTCCTGCGCTTCTACCTCACCGTGTGATTGGACGACCTCCTCTCGGTCTTCCGCGTCACCATTCACCTGTGCGTAGACGACATCGCCCTCCGTGTCATGGCCACAGAAGCTCAAGTGGTCGAAATACTGCCACAAGCTTCCCGCCTCTTGCCTTGGGTGATGGAATCTTTCTTGGGCCTGGACGTCGCGAGGGCCCGCCAGGGTGTCAATGGCAAGTGCTCTTTCCTGCAGACCTCCTCGCCCTCGGCGGCCCTCGTAAACCCCGTGGACATGCGGGGCGTGCCACTCAGCACCTCAGACCGGTGGCTGGGCATCGACTGCGGCCCGCAAGCCGCGGCTACCAACGCGTCGGCCCCAGTTCGGCGTGGGCGGTTCGCATTGCCCAGGAGAGGTGGCCTATGGTGAAGGGGCTTCCCAGAGCTAGAGGAGGCAAACTCAAGCAAATGGTGCGTCAAAGGCTGGGCGCTTCGTTGGCCTTCGGGTTCTCTTGTCCTTCTTGTCATTTTTATTCGCGTCCGTTTCACCGGCGTCGGATTCGAAAAGGTCGCAGGTCTCGGATTCGAAGCTCCCGAACAACTCTTGCTCCAATTTTCCTCGGTGCCCCCGTTCGCCTCCATCGTCCTTTTCCGCGGCGGCGAAAGTGCGTGGAGCTGCGTGTTCCGGTGGCGGCCAGGGGAGGGGAATCCCGCCCAAGGGGCGCGCGACCCTCTCGCCGTCGATCGTCTCTGCGACTCCGCGCCTCCCCCTTCCTCTGCCCCTGCTTCTGCCTCCGCGGCCTCGACCTCCGCGCCCGCGCCCATGCTCGGCAGGGCGGGGTTCGCCGTCGGCGGACCCCGGCCGGCTCCGGCTGCGGCTTTGCGACGTGAGCGCGGCAGAGGCACGCGGCAATCGCGCGGCAAACTAATCGCATCGAGGTGAAATCGTGAGCGCTTTCCTGAATCTCTCCTCCCTCCTCCTCCTCCTCCTCCTCCTCCTCCTCCTCCTGCTCCTCCCCCTCCTCCTCCTCCTCCTCCTCCTCCTCTTCTTCTTTTTCTTCCTCCTCCTCCTCCTCCTCCCCTTCCGGCTCCGGCATGCGATCGTGGCTGAATTGAGGAATGCGCGGGGCCCTGGTAACGCCAATTCGGCGCCTCGCCCTGCCCGTGCGCCGCGCGTGCACCGGGGCCGCCGGCGAATGGTCGACATGCCTCAGTTCATGTTGCAACCGCAGTCTGTGTTCTGTTTGGCCATCGACAATGTAATGCGGATGAGATTCCACGAAAGTCCCATCCGCCATGAGCGTCAGAAGCGTGTAGTGGCGGGACTAATACAATATTTGCGTAATGTCATAATCTGCAGGCCCGTCGCCCGTCTTGATACCCAATGCTTCCCATGCTGCCCCCCTTTGCACCAAACTCTCGCGGGGGCGCGGAGCGCTCGCTATAATATTGCACAGATAGCTGTCGAACTTGCCACCGTCATATTTCGGGCACAACACCAATTTTAAATTGTTCGGTGCTGTCATAACGATACGACAATTGCCTTCCTGCGCCATGTTGCTAAAGCCATATGTTGTCAAACGGCGTCGTTGTGTCTTCTTGTCACTGTCCGCCATGCGTGGGTCGTTTTCTGACAACGAGCCTTTGCCGTGCAACAAGCCCTGGCGTGGTTTTGATGCTGGCGGTTCCGACGGTGACTCGTTGCTAATGCCAGGCTGCGCATCTGAGAATGTTTTCTTCTCCATCTAAGCTCGCGCGGCCCGCTCGAAAAACTGAATTTCGTCGAGAACGTCCATGGTCTTCGGCTTATCTTGCGTGGCAATATCAACCGCCGACCAGCAGCTTTCAATGCAATTGCAGCAGTGGGATGAAAACGGGGGGCACACTCTTTCGGGGGAGCTCTGCCAAAGCGCCTTGAACAGCGTTCGTTCCCCAATTTGCGTCTCCGTGATATGTGTGCCTTTCATGTGCTCCGCGCGCCGCGCGTCGCGGCGATTGGCGCGCCCCTGGCAATTCGTCGCTTGATTTCCCACTTTCTCGCAGCGCTACTGGCGCCCTCGCCGCGGACTCCGGCGGGGCAAAGGCGAAGGGGGGGGCGACGACGATGAGGGCGGGGCGAGGAGGGAGGGGGGGGGGGGGGCGAGGAGGAGCGGCAGGAGGGCGTCACCGCAGTGCTGCGAAAGTTTTCCCAGACGGCGCAAGGGCCGCCGGGGGTGCCCCCCCGCGCGACCGCCGCTGCGCGGCGGCGGCAGGATCGCGCGGCAGCGCAACTGATTGACGAAATTCGTTTCGCCTTGGTCCTCTAAGTCCTGGAAGACACGACGCCAAAATCTATCAAATAGTTCTGGCTCTAAGAAAGCGCTCTGGTGGACGTAGTCGGTGACATTTCTGCTGTAATTGTGGTGCTCCCAGCGCCCCGTCTCTCTCTGAATGTCATTTTTTCGCGTGTTGTAGGCGTCGTACGTGCGTGGCTAATGGGAAGCGGTCTTGAAGCGCGATGACCAAAGCAGCCCCGCCATCTAGGTGCGCAGCTGACGTTTGCCCCACTAAATCAATACCGACATGCCTCATTGATTCGATCACGCTGTCCACCAGCGCCCCCGCTGCTTTGTTCTTCGCTTGAGGTGCGAACGCGAAGGCCAGAGGTGCGAACGTAGTCGTCCACTCGCCCCGTGTGAAGTGCACTCCCGACCAGCCTAATCCTATCAACTTTAACTTCTGGAGGCCTTGGTCGCGCGTTCCGTCGCAGCACAAACGAAACTTGTATTCGGGCCCGTGTTGTCTGATCATATCCTCTGCCAAACTTATGAGGCACCAGCGCCGAAACGCAATGATGAGGGACTCTTGGTGTGAATGGGCGGGGTCCACGATTGACCGCCGCTCTGGGCCCCCGGGCCGGGGCATTCGGTCGTTCGCATTCGCTCCGTGCGGGCGGCGCCGACCGGGCGCCAGCGGCACGATGCAACGCTGTCCTTGCCTCGTGCACCGCGGTCTCCTTCGGTGGGTCTGTTGCTCTAGCGCCCGCTTCGATCCCCTGGTATATTTGAATAGAAGCCGAGAGCGGATTTGCTGCCATCTCTTTTTTTGATTCCCTCTTTGTTCTTCCGAATTTGGAATTTGGATAGCTGTGGCTTGTGCGTGCCAGCTTCGTAATAATGAACAACTCCATGTTGCGCTGCGTTCTTCGTGCGAACTTTGCACAGGCCGTTATTTGTGTCATGTTCATCTGAATGTTGCTTGCAAAAAATAAAAACGCACTCTTCTGGGGCCCCGTCTTCTCCCACCGCGGCGTGGAATTTTGCAATTTGCAATGCTGTGCCTGCGAGCTCGTTCCGGACGAATGTTTCGAGAGGCCCTGAGATCTGGCGCCCTGGGCCGATTTCTGTCCAAACTGGTTTGGCATATGCGGCCGCCTGTGGTTCTGGGCCTTCGGGATCCTCTTTTTTCGCGCATGGTAACCCCGGGGGCCCGCTCGACGCGCCCGCGCCAGCGGCGTCCTCTTCCTTCTTTACGCGTGTTGAAGTCGGTTGCGGTGCCGATGAGGCGGCGTTCGATGACGAACCTTACGAAAAAACGCCCTTCTGCAGCGCGTGGGCCGTGGGTGCCATCCACAGCATATTGAAGATCGTCCTCCCCCGGGTAATTAGCGAAAAGAGAACGACGACGACCGACGACGACGGACGACGACGACGACGACGACAACGATTGCGATGACCACGACGACGATGGACGACGATGACGACAAGGACAACGATTGCGGCGACAACGACGACGACGGACGACAGTGGACGACGACGGACGATGACAGACGACGACGGCGACGGCGACGGCGACGACGACGACGACGAACGACGGACGACTGCGGACTCACGACTGACGACCGACGATGATTCAGCGCGGAGCATATTGAATGTGAGCGATCCTCTTGAGGCGACAACCGGCGACTTTGCGACGCCCGCCACAACCGCAATGCAGTTGGTTTGTCGGGGGCGGCAGGTATGTGCAGAAGAACCTCATCTTCGGGTCTTGCAGGCCTTCCGTCTGCACCGGGCCGGCTGGGGTTCAAACCGCGCGATGGCGGTCGGGGGGCGGCGGGCGGTGCAGGCGCATGCCGTGCCTGCCCACATTGCGGATGCGCATCATGTCTTCGTACCTCTCGTCGAAGTGCTCATCGCGGCGGCGGGCGATTGCCTCGCGGTGCCGGTTGAAGAGGTTGTACTGCGCCACGCTCTGGGTCGGCCTGTCCTCGCCAAGGTCGCCGGCGGGTTCGCCGCGCGGGCGAAGGCGATCTTCTTGGGCGCGTTTAAATTCTTCGCGATAATCCTCCCAGGCGGGGCCCGCAAGGAGTGGCAAGTATAAATTATTCCTTCTTTTCTCTCTCATTCCTGTTCTTTTTCCGTCCGTCTCTCTTCTTCTTCCCTCCTTTCTTCTTCCTTGCTTTTTTTTTCCCCCCCGTGTTCTGTCCGTCCCTTTCTTCTTCCCTCCCCCCTTTCCACCTCTCTTTTTCTCCGTCCGTGCACCTTCATTCCCGTCCTCCCATCCTCCGTCCTGCCGTCCTGCCTCCCTCTGCCCCCCCTCCCATGAGGGAGGAAGGGACGTCATCTTAAAATTGCGCCAATGTGTCCGTTTCGGTGACCTCCGGGTGCTTGCGGAGGAGAAGGCTCCGTCATCGCATCATTGAATGGTGCGTCTTGCACTGCCAACCCGCCAATCGTGATTCCGAACACGCATAGGGAAACCGTATTGCCGCGCATGACGCAAGAAGGTATAAATAGCTTACGGACTGGTAAGCACGCCGATGGAAAGCAAACTGTAATTGCTGCACGAAGGCTTGAACCTGAACAACACTACGGGGAACAAGGACGGGAGGGGATAAATCCGGGAAGATGGGACAAGAAGAGAACACGGATGGAGAGGATGGGAGGAAGTAGAGGAAAGAGAACACGAAGAACATATAATTGAAAAAAACAAGAAATACACGGCATATATATATATATATATATATATATATATATATATATATATATATATATATATATATATATATATATATATATATATATATATATATATATATATATATATATTATATATATATATATATACATAATACACGGGAGAAATAATGGCCGAAGGAATTTGTAGTCGTCGGGCAGGCCGGCAGCATGAATTGTGAAATTTTAACGGTTGACGTACCGGCCGTGCACCACCGCAATCGGATCATGACGGGCAGCTTTATCCAGTGTGACTCTGCAATAATATGTATCAATGATTCCGTTGTCGTCTGGCAAATCGTCGTCGTATTGAAGCGTTGCCCGTGCGCGCACCGATAAAATACCGTCATTTTTTTTTTTGGGGGGGGGGGGGGGCGGGTTCTTTTTGATTAGCCGTTATCATATCGGTTGTTTGTTTTAATTGCTATTCTTGAAT